CAAAGAGTGCTTGAGGAGAATGTGTGACCATCAGGAAAAAGGTTAAAGCTAAAGAAATGGACCTTTCAACAGGATAATGATCCCAAATATACAAGTAAATCCACCAAGGAAAGGCACAAAAGGAGGTAATGGATGGTTGCGGAATGGCCTAGTCAAAGCCCAGATCTGAATCCCATTGAAATGCTGTGGTGGGATTTGAAACTGTACAGGCATAAAACCCCTCAAACACTGCAGAGTTGAAAGAATTCTGCATGGAGGAATGGGCAAAAATTGCTCCCAGTAGATATCAGAAACACATACACAAAGTTGTTTTTGCCACAGTACTGAAGCCAAGGGTGTACTTACTTTTTCAACAGACAAAAATGGCGTTAGTTTTGTAATAATTGATTGCAAGGCCAAATTTCCATTGTTTTTGTTCCATTACATAACATTTATTTATACTGTTTAACTGAAAATCAGATACTGATCTGTAGTCATATATCAAAAAAAAGAAACATTTCAAGGGGTGTATTTACTTCTTCACATGACTGTATAATGTACTATATAATAAAAAAAACAAAGCATATCAGTCTAAATAGTGCAGTAGTGTCTTGTTAACTGAGTAAATAGTAAAAATCTCGTCACTGTTCCAAACTGCTGAAGATTAGCACCTATTGGTAGGTATTAAATGTCTTGATAATGGGCAGTTTATACCTCTGTGTGTTGAGGTAGGATAGCAAAACACTTAAGTCACTTTTATGCCACTTTCTTTCTCTCTGACTGATTCATAGTTGTTGATTGTTTTAAAGCATTACTGCTAAATCCTGGTAGCTGTTTTAAAAAAAAAGCATTTAGGCACAGATTTCTTGACATAGATCCATTTCATAACCTCAGTGAAAGACTATATAGCTGTACTACTGGACAGTTTTGAAAGTTTGTTCAACAAATTGAGCACACTCCTCAGTTTGGCTTAAATGTAGCCATTGTAAATTATCCTGTGTCTACCTTACTCTAATGCACCTGAATCAACACATAATAGGCACAAGTTTCTGTATTCTATAACATATTAGTAAAATGCTGTTTGCTTTCCTACAAATGCTTTAGTCTATGATGTGGATCATTGGCTACAGTGCTTGACTAGAACACAAAATCTTAAATTATACCATCAAATATAGAGTAGCATGCAAAAGTTTGAGTGCCCTTGGTCAAATTACACATTTTGTTGAAAATAAGTAAACACAATCTATACATATACATTTTAATGCACAATTACTGTTATGGAATGTATTAAACAAATATTTTTTTCAATATGTGAAACTCAGCAAATAAACAGTATTAAAATGTGAATTAAAATGTGTAGACATGTCATATTTCAGTTTGTTCTCTGTAGAGGATGTGTTCACATAGAAAATCTGTAATTTAAACAGGGGTATTTAAACTTTTGCATGTGACTATATAGACCTGAACAAACATAACACTGTTCTGGGCTGTCAATGAAGCTTGTTTGCTTTTCTTGTCATCGAAGAGTTTAGCTAAGCTTTGTGTTCAACTCTAAGGCTTGGAAAAGCATCCACAGTGGAATCAAGCTTTTGCAGCAGGCCTCACAGTCCCCTTGTAATGGGGGAGCAATGGGAACAAATCCTATATATCTGTAGGTTATTTGTAAGTGTTTTTGTGTTTTTATATACCAAAAACAGTTATAGTGTATTTTACATGAGCATTTAACAACCTCTGTTTATTTCATAGAAGTTGTTTTTGTTACTACACCTTTAAGACTGATAGAAAATAAATGGTCTCTTTTCTGATTGGCTGCATGTCCCTCATTCAAAAGATACTCTTTTGTCTGAAAATCTTCAATGTAAATGTGCAGAGCTAAACTGCTGTATGCTGAATAGTCAGAAACTTTAACAATGTTTGTGCTACATCTATTTTATTCCAAAAAAAGCAAGTAAAAGTTGTTTTTCTGTGATATGGGTCACTTAAGCAGTTTACTCACATTTCTGTCACTGTTTCAAACTGCAGATGATTAGCACCTATTTGGTGAAAGAGTCTTGTTAATGGGCAATTTACACCCATGTTGGTGTCAGACCAAGACCACAAAATACTTAAGCGACTTTTAACACGTCTATGGACAAAAAACCTCAAGCTTCTATACCAGTGAAGATTCATACTGAGTACAGAAAAAAAATATTCTGCGTAATTTCCCACCCACAGGACGAGAGTGATTCATTTGTTCACTGAAAAATCAAATGTACACAATTTTCCCGTTTTCTCAAAAGTCAGCCAGTGCATTTGGTTCTTTAGTTCTAGACTGGAGCTAACAGCCTAATGTAGCAAAAAATTAAGGAACGGCTATGTAAAATCCTTTATTTTCTATTATACTAACCTCATGGTGTATTATTTAAATAATTAAAAATGGGACAATTAAATATATTTTAAAACGCCATAGGTAGGACACATTTATTTTAAATAAGAGCAAATTTTTGCTGTTGGAACAAAACCTTGTATCTCCACTTTTGGCAATTTTCACATAGTTTTTGACATAATTTGAAAACACCAGCCTTTACATTATATGGAAGTTTTATAATGAATGGGCCAATAAAAAATGTGCAAAATTGCTTGGAATGATAGCATTTCACATTTACTTGTATTGAAATTTAAGGATTCTTGAAAAGATACAATTTTGGAAATACAAAGTTTTGTCCAACAGCAACAAAATATATGTACATATATTTTTCTTCCATATGGGTTGGGCTAAGGGAAAAAATGTGCACATTTGATTTTCCTGTGAATCAATCCTTTAACATTCAGGCAGAGCAATGACTGCAACATTTCATATATTCTGAAGATTTCAGTTTATCAGTAAACATCAACAGAGCCATGCGTAGTTTGAAAAAGGCACCCAGGAATGACTGTAATTTGATGTAATTAAGTTTTGAGCAAATGAAGGATGTTTCAGTCAATAGACTTACAAACTGTCTAGTTTTGCTCAGTATGGTAGAGCAGTACTGAGCAGAAAACAGAAACATGCACAAAGTACAGACTAATGCAGCCTTACACGTATACAGAGTTTTCATCGACTGTAAATCAAAACACAAAAATAGACTTCATGTGTTAACAAGCAGTTTAACTGATACCGTTCAAGTAAAAAAAAAAAACTCATTCAGAAGATTAAACTGAAAGTTATTGGCACTCCTGCATCTTCCTTTTAACAAGACAGCAGTCCTCAGGACCGCCGTAGCCAGCCTCTATTTTGCTCTATAATATTTTGGATATAATGGAAATCTATGTCCTATTATGTTTGATAAGAGAGAGAGTGCACTGCAATAGATCAGAGACCATTACTCCATCCAGAACATCTCCAGATCACTCAGAGACCTTTCCTGTTTATGAACTCTGCTTTTTCAACTGAACTGGACACATTCAGTGGTGTTTAGTTTAGGGCAGGGGTTTCAATCCCAACCTCAGAAATTCACACGATCAAAGCAAATGATCAGCACTCTGCAGATCTGCTCTCGGTGTATTTGGAGGCACACACAGAATTAAAAGGCAGACAGGCTGGGGGTCCCTGACCACTGAAATAAAAACTACTGAGTTATTGGACTGCGTTTTCTCAATAGAAAAGCTTGACTGGGTCTTTTTTTGTGTGAAAATACTGTAAAATGATTTGAAAATGTGCATTATTGGAAAATTGGAGGGCAAGTTCATTTTTGGTTGGAATATCAAATGCATGGGTTATATTTCAATGTATTTTGTTTTTGATTATGTAGTGAAAGAGGCAGGTAGACTGTGTAAAAATCAAAGAAACTCCTACAATAATAGACAGAAGAAGGCTTCTCATGTTTGCAGAGTCAGTAAAAGCATGATGCTGTGGCCACTGAGCCTTTTTTTGTGTGCATTTTGAAACATGTCTTGGGTCATTGTGCTAGAGGAAGATCCATGGACATGTTTTTCAACTGCATTAAAAAAAAAGGAAAAAGGAAAAGAAATTGATTTTACCATGGAAATTGATTATATTTCTGTGTTTTGTTATCCTCTAAGTGAGAGATAGAGGAAGACTATTTAAAACCTTTGGTTAAATAAATACATAAATAAGTAAATAAAATAGTGACGATTATAATTGTAAATAGTATCCAATATACACCCATCAGGCATAACATTATGACCACCTCCTTGTTTCTATGCTCATTGTCCATTTTATCAGCTCCACTTACTGTATAGGTGCACTTTGTAGTTCTACAATTGCAGACTGTAGTCCATCTGTTTCTCTGCATACTTTGTTAGCCCCCTTTTACCCTGTTCTTCAGTGGTCAGGACCCCCACGGACCCTCACAGAGCAGGTACTATTTGGGAGGTGGATCATTCTCAGCACTGCAGTAACACTGACCTGGTGGTTGTGTGTTAGTGTGTGTTGTGCTGGTAAGAGTGGATCAGACACAGCAGTGCTGCTGGAGTTTTTACACACTGTGTCCACTCACTGTCCACTCTGTTAGACACTCCTACCTTGTCAGTCCACCTTGTAGTTGTAAAGTCAGAGATGATAGCTCATCTGCTGCTGCACAGTTTGTATTGGTCATCCTCTAGTCCTTCATCAGTGGTCACAGGACGCTGCCCACAGGACGCTGCTGGCTGGATATTTTTGGTTGGTGGACTATTCTCAGTCCAGCAGTGACACTGAGGTGTTTAAAAACTCCAGCAGCACTGAGAAACAGATGGACTACAGTCTGTAATTGTACAAAAAAGTATATATATATATATATATATATATATATATATATATATATATATACACATAAACATATATATATATCCATTTAAGAGTGTAATAATTTAGATATACAAATAAAATACAGTTCTGAATACAAAAAAATGGGAGGAAATAAATAAATCTAAAAGCGCTTTTCCACTGATAGGCAGCAGAGGGCGTGCTCACTCTCACTGGGCGGAAATCACCAGAGCTCCGTCCCACTGACGTCACAGCGCCATTCTCTGCCTGTCCTTTGTTGCGCGGCTCGGTCAGCCATTTTACGGAGAGGAGTCGGTGCAGAGAGACGGTTAGCGCGTGTCTCTGTGACCCTTAGTAGCTGACTTTCTGTAGCGACCCAACACGTTTTCGCCTTTAACCAAGAATCTAAGATCTGTTGTGATCTTGTATTCAGATCTGCTGTAACGGCTCCTCGCGCTTAACGGCCCGCTATGTCTCGCGATCGATTCAGAAACCGCGGAGGAGGATTCCAGCAGCGAGGAGGAGGAGGCCGCGGCGGTTTAGGAGGAATGCGAGGTGGAATGGGAAATCCAAATTTCCGAAATCAGAACACCCCGCAGCATCCCTTTCAGAACCGAGGACCCCAGCCGGGCGGTGGGTTTAAGCCTAATCAGGGAAACCAGCCTAATCAAGCACATCCTCCTCCGAACCAGAGTACACCACAAAAGCCGGAGGCGGGGAGCGGTAACGTTGCCCCGAAGCCCGAAATTAAGTCGCCGCGCCGCAGCAGCAGCCCCAGCAACCCCCGCAACAACAACCACAACAGCAGCAGCCGGCACAAGGTCCAGGCCTTCCTCAGAACAAAACCCCGACTCAGCAGCCGCAGGGCGGCAGCGCAGGTCCGCCGAAGATGCAGTCTCCTCCGCCGAAGAACATGAACGCGAAGCAGGAACCGGGAACCCCTCAGAATCAATTCAGAAAAAACCTGCCGAAGCCGGCCGCAGGAAACGGCCAGAAACCCACAAACAGCCAAGCTCCGCCGCCTCAGACTGATCAACAGGGGGACAAACCGCAGGTACGACGAAAAAAAGCGATCTCTAAGAGTGAAGTTGTTTTCATGATACAGGCCCCTGAACTGACTGTCGCAGGCCTCAGCGGCCCTCAGCGCCTCGCTTCAGCGTTCAGCCATTTTGTAGAGCTAAACAAAGCACGGCTCCTAGCTGACGAGCTAACGAGTAGCTGTACGTTAAATAGCGCGTAAAATACGGTTCATTTTGTGATTCAGACCTAATAGCGGATATGTTTTATAATAGTCATGTTTTTTTTTAATTTTCCTTGCCTGTCTCTTATTGCTGTCTGTGTAAATGTCTCGCTTTTTTTCGTGTTTTGTGTGCCTCTCGCTAACGCGAGGGAGCGTTAGCTAAGTTATCTAACGCCAGCTAAGCTACCATTCGGCAAATTAAACAATGTAGCCAACTCTAGGTAAGCTAACTTAGCCGACGTAGCTCAGTTCTTGTTTTTTAGTTTTTTATTGATATTCAGTCTTATGTAAATATTAGCTACTTATGTTAAGCCAGGCTATGTTTGTATTGAAATGCAGGGTTTTATTTTTTGGCCTTTTTATTCTTTAGCGCTGTTCGCCACATCCTCGCAGCTAGCTAACGATGGCCGAAGCCCAAATGGCTCGTTACTGGACATGTAGGTTAACGTTAAAGTATTATGCGCTGGGATATTATTTGTTCGTTTGATTACTTACGTAGCGTACAATATGGTCTGTAAAGTCATTTGAGAGTCAGTTAGCTTAGCGTATTATTTTTGTTCACTTTATAATATTCGGGTAGTCACGTTTAGTATTGTATTATGTCATGTTTATTCTGACGACCTATTTTTCCACCGCAGCTTAGAAATGGACAATATGACGATATTATCGTTAACATGGTAAATTGTCACGTTACGTTGCGTTTGAGCATAGCGTGGATGTCACTGGTGCTTTTAGAACATCAGAGAGCTTGACTAGGCTGTTAGGATGTAGACTAACATTCAGATACACGTTTGATTTCAGGAATTGAAGGCAACACTGTCGTTGCTGCGCAAACCTGGAGAGAAAACCTACACTCAGCGATGCCGGTTGTTTATTGGCAATTTGCCCAATGATATCTCAGAAGTGGATTTCAGGAAGTTGTTTGCAAAATATGGAGAACCCAGTGAGATCTTCATCAATCAAGGCAAAGGTTTTGGTTTCATCAGACTGGTAAGGCTTCCTCATACTTTTAAAATGTATAAGCAAATGAAGTTCAAAGCTCTGAGAAGCTAAATGGTTTCATTTTTACTTTTTTCAGGAGTCACGTGCGTTAGCAGAGATTGCAAAAGCTGAGCTGGATGACACTCCCATGAAAGGCAGACCTCTTAGGGTTCGCTTTGCAACCCACTCTGCTGCACTTTCTGTGCGCAACCTATCCCCCTTTGTCTCCAATGAGCTTCTAGAGGAGGCATTCTCTCAGTTTGGAGTGGTCGAGAGGGCAGTGGTTATCGTAGATGACCGTGGGCGTTCGTCTGGGAAGGGCATTGTTGAGTTTGCTACCAAGCCTGCTGCACGAAAGGCACTCGATCGGTGCAATGACGGCGTGTTCCTGCTCACATCGTAAGATCTTAAGTACTACATTTCCATTGTTATTTTGGTAAGGGTACTATTTGTCTTTGCTTATACCGTTTTTTTATTTAATTCTCCAAACTACTAGGTCACCACGTCCAATTGTTGTTGAGCCGCTGGAACAGTATGATGATGAGGATGGTCTACCAGAGAAGCTTGCTCAGAAGAACCCAAATTATCAGAAGTGAGTTTCTGTGCAACTATAGTTAGTCCCTGCAGCCTTTGTAGGAAATGTATGTTTTAGAGTTTAATGCACCCTGGATTTATAACTTGACTGTGTAACAATTAACTATTTTTTTGATGACTGAACTGATGTATGAGAAGGTGTGGATTTAGTTGGACTGATTAAACTAATTCACTGTCCTTGTGACCTCTGCTGTTGCTCAAATACATGCTTGTGTGCATACTTTTAATTTATAGAGAGAGAGAGCAGCCTCCACGTTTTGCCCGACCAGGCACGTTTGAGTTTGAATACTCCCAACGATGGAAGTCTCTTGACGACATGGAGAAACAACAGAGGCAGCAGGTTGAGAAAAATATCCGTGAGGCTCGTGAGAAACTGGAAACGGAGATGGAGGATGCCTACCACGAGCACCAAGCTAATCTGCTTCGACAGGGCAAGTGTCTAGTGTTAATCATTGTACTGAATATTGTTGTGGGCGCTGATGCATAGGTATTAATGATACTTTTTTTTTTTTTGCGTAGATCTTCTGAGGCGTCAAGAGGAACTGCGACGCATGGAAGAGATGCATAATCAGGAAATGCAAAAACGCAAAGAGATGCAGCTGAGGTATGGAATATAGATCTGTTAGGTTTTTAATATGTAAGATTGTCACACTTTTCTATTTAGTGTAATATGGAATTAGTTTTTAGTAAGTTTTGATTATTGCGTAGCAAGCTCTATGAGCTTCATAATCAGTAACCCTCTGACTGGTAGGCAAGAGGAGGAGCGGCGTAGACGGGAGGAGGAAATGATGCGGCAGAGGGAATTGGAAGAGCAGATGAGGCGTAAGCGTGAGGAGTCCTACAGGATGGGCAGCAGCTTCATGGACAATGTAAGTTCCACCTTCAGAATTCCTTGGGCACTTACTTGAGCAAAATCTTTTTATGGGTATATAGACTAGTCTGTGGGGAAAACTCATGGCAGCTACTATTGTTTAATACTGACCAAAGGGTTTTTTTTAATTTCATGTTTGTCTTTGTGCAGAGGGACAGGGAAATGAGGATGAATCCTGGAGGAGGCCTTGGTTTGGCAGGTAAGTCTCTTAGCTGTTTTTAGCAGTTTGGCCTGTAAAAGTATTTCACAAATATTCCATTTTTGTGTAATGTGTGTGTATGTGTGTATACATACACGTTATAAGTACTACAGATTGGTAGACTATGAGGTAGCTGTCTAAACTAAGACAAACCCTTAATAATGTTACGTGAAATTACTTTTAGGAAGGTTATTTACTTGTATAACTAATGATCACAAAACAAATCAGCTAAAGTGTTTTACAAAACATTTTTTCTTTCATTAGATATGCCTTTTGGCTCCCCCAGCCAGAAGTTTCAGTTTGCTGGAATGAACTTCGATGGTCACCAGGGCATGGGTGGACCGGCGTCAGGGGGCATGGTGCCCAACGAAATGGTAATGTATCCAGTGATGGCAAAGAGTGAAAGGCAGAGTGTATTGTGTGATAGTTGATGTGAGTGTGTGGAGGATGTGATCCTTAAAGATCAAGAGGAGTTGGTTGCTCACTCTGAGGCAGTTTATGGGTTGAATGGTTGCAGAGCTGTCAGTGAGGGTTCGGTAAAATCTGTTGGTGGACTGATTTTTTATATCTGTGTCCTTGGTGGCAATGTTTGCCGCAAGCGTTTCCTCAGCCATTATGCTCAGCTTCTCAATCATTTTTTTTTATTCAATTTGCTTAAAAGGTCTGTCTGTACTAAAGCCCAGGCAATGAACTTGTAACTGTTTACTCACTGCATTCACTTGTAAGTCCTGTCTGATGTGATGATTAAAGGCAGGCATGTATTTCTTAGCATGGGTAGAACTGTAGCCTTTGAATTTTTGCAATTATTTGTAATCTTTGCAACAATAGACCTGGACTACTCTCTGGTTGGAACAGTTCTGGCCTTCTCTTGAAATGTATTTTTGTGCTGGGGGAAAACTTGATTGCAATCCTTTAATGACTGGTTCAAGATTGTTGCCTCCCATATGGAGTGAGCCAACTGTCCAGTGGCACTTTGTAGTTCTGAGACACTGAAGGGGTTTTAGTGCAGATTGACTTCAAAGCAAGTATATTCTTGTTACTCCTGACAGTAATATTTTGTAGATCAATGCTGAGCTTTTGGATGATCTGATGGTCAATGGCAGTCCCATATGAGGTCTTGCTGGTTACGGGTGGCTTCAAACTCTGCATCTAAATTCACACTGGCTCTTGACAAACCTGGACATTTTTACTTATTTTCTGTTAAATTATACAGCCACATCTGGCTGGCTAAATAACCAGTGCCATTTGAGTTTAAATTTGAAGTGGTATTTCAAATCACATCTGATTGGAATTACTGGGGCAATTTTATCAGTATGTCTACGTCTACATTTTGGTGTAGATTCCATATAAATATTAATAATCCTGAACACTTGATCGGAAATGGCTGTCTGAAGTACCGTGCGAAGTACAACACTGGTGTATACATGCACATCTTTAGTTATAGTGAGCAGGTTGGTTCCAAATCTTAGTATTAATTTGAAGTGGTATTAATGTGGATATTGTGTACGATGGCACACGCCCTCTGCAGAAGTCTTTGTGTGAGGTCATTGTTGCAGAAATTTGAACTGCAGTTAAAGGCTGCTTAATTAATTGCAAAACTTCTCTGCTCCAGAGCTGAGAACAGAACTTTGTTTTTGTGCTTAGACTTAAGCTGCAACACTTAATCAAATGGAAATGTGATCGTGTGTATTAAGTGATGCTGACTAGCTGTTTCAAGAGGGAATGAAAACTTTGTTCCCATGCTAAGTCATTTTAAAACTGAGATCACACTATTTTGTTTGATTGAAATTATTGATTTCTTCAACTGACTAGCTCTATGACGCTTTTTTTTATAAGAAATATCCATTATTTACACACCATAAAAGCAGAGGTTGATCCATTGATACAATTGGTTACTGAAGTGATTCCAAAGTACTGCCCTAGTTTACTAACTAGGAATTTAAATGATTAACTGTGAACTGACAAATAATTGTTCTACCAAAGCTATCAGATAAGAATGTATTCCATATTACTTCGCTGGTTCCTATTTAGTTAAACAGTTGCTTTCAGAACAATGTTTTGAGAGAATGTTGGTGCAGATTTCAGTTTACTAAAGTATGTTTAATATGACTACTTCATATTTCATGCTTGTGCCTGGCCCTGCTATCAGTACTATGTTCCTCGGTGCATACAAGGCACTTTTTCCTTTCTATATCTCTGCATTCATATAGAATCAAATGGATGTCTTCATACATAATGCTTGGCAGTGTTCAAAAACCAGTCATATTTCAGAACTGGAACTATCTATTTTATAATTAATGTTTAGATGGGTCAGGTCCTTAATTTTAAGCTTATCAGATGAATGATTCATCATTGACGAATGATGGTTGGTTGTCAGTCAAAAGAACTTGCCAAAATTTGTCCCATAATTCCAACAGCCTTATACCAAAATAGATGCAAAGGTCATCATTTATTGTACTTGCATGTGCATAAAATTGTTACGTTTTGCATGCAAAATAGAAACTTTTTAAAGAAATTTGCACCATTCTATAATAATGCACACACATTATTTGAGGAAAATGAAGGCAGTAAAATGTTTTGCCAACTTGAAGGCATGTTAGTTATTGGAATATATACCTGTATATATGTGTTGCTGAAGGCATGAGTGTTCCCAGCCATACCAAGTGAAATTGCACTACTCCTTACTATGCTCAGATTTGCCATCATGAATGCTGTTTGAGACGTTGTAAAAGGATGTGCATTTATTGTAGTGTTGCGCACTGACAGTATTAAATGAGTTGTTAGTTGGCTGGTACTTTCCAAGATTATTTAAGGGTCCAAGCTCAAGTTAAGCTCATCTGTTTGTAGACAGATGAACAAACTGACCCCAAAAAAGTCTATTCAAACTAAAGGTACTCTCCAATGATTTTAATTTGTCACTCTAAAACAAATACTATGTTTGTGCTGAACACTTTATTCATGTTTCTTTGCACATTCTAGACACTGATACATGTGCCATCTATTGAGTTTGACATACAGGTCATTCATAATAAAAGAAATGACCCTGATTGATTTTGTTAGATCATCACAAAGGACCCTCTTCTCCCATGGTTACTTCCCAGTGAAAGTGTTTATTTCCAGAGCCTAGCATTCCAGCATGTTTGGCCTAAATATTGATCAGAACGCCAATTCATCTGTGAATAAGTGCTTTAATGCACAAATCTGACCATTTTATTAAAGGATTTTGAACTAGTACCAGTGAAAATATTTGCAGTGGCTAGATTATGCTGTCACACTGCAGCTGATGATCATGTCAGTTTCCTGAGGCTTTCCAAACTTTACATTAATGAATTAAAGCAATGACTAGAAATCATGAGGAAAACCCTAAATCACCTTGCTCTGTCAGTATTTGTCCAGCCTTTGGAGAGTTTTGTAAAGTCATTTCATTTTTATGGTCCTATGCCACAAGCCTTGGATTCTGGTGTCAAAATGTGGTTTGGTGGTGATGAGATTATATAATCTCACAGGACAATCACAGCATTGTCTTTACTATAGCCACGCTGTGAAGCCTTGGCAGTAATGCGCCCAACAGCAGGGTCAACATGCTGTCATCTTGGTGTTGCAGTGATTTGTGTCAGTCAAACTATAGTATGCAGGTGTTGAAAGGTTTTCCTGAAACGTTCATGACAGGAATTGGAATATCTAGTTATGCCTCAAGATGTGGTTTGGATAATGTTTTTTTAACTTCCAATTTACATCACTGTCCTTGACCTTTGTGTTGATTCAGTATTGATACATATGTGCATTCGGCCACCTTAACTCGGAGTCGCTGATTTGCTGCAGTTGTTTGAAGTGCAATCTCTTCAAATTGTAATCATTTGGATTTTTTGGCCCTCGGCCCACTGTAAGCGTTGCACTTTGGTCCCCCCAAGGCAAAATCTTTGAGCGCCCCTGGTCGAAGCACTCAAGATGTAACTATGACTGTTTAGTCCTGTCTGATTTTTAAGTGATCATGAGTGCATCAACCGTAGCAGAATGCTCAGTTGCTTGAATAGTTTTTTGTTCATCACGGGAGAACAGGGCCCAAAGTGAAATCACCTACATGTATATACAAACTTGCTGACTGGTTGTCTAACAGACAGCCTTGTCAAAGTAATTAAGGTTAAATTACAGCTTCTTTGAGAAAGTAACACTGAATTTAATCAGTCTTTTAGTTTTATTTACCAGAATTAGCAGGTTTTTTGCTGTATGATATATTTTAAATTGTTCCATCTTATGTTGGGGCAGGAGCAAGTAAGGTCAGCTTGATGGAGTGACGCACCAAAAGTGTGTTATATATGATTGATCTATTTAAATAGCATCAGGAGTTGCATCATAACCAAAATCCTCTAATACACTTGGGGAAACAGTAATGAGCATAGTTTATACTTAAGTACTTTGTGTTGTAATGTCAAATCATTACCTTAGAAAAATCCTTAACTAGTGGATTCTTTTTAAATGAACTGCTTGAAACCGCAATAGTAGTGTTAATAAATAAGAGCATTTTTCTTATTTGATTTGTACTATATAAGAAGCTGCTCTCCAGTGGCTCCTTAGGATTATCCCCTAGAAGATGATTAGTAAACTAGATTTTTCCCAATAATTCACTATTAATTTAGTGATCACTAAATCAGGACATAGTGCTGGCTGTAACTTTTTGCTGCCTTCCTTATGTGATTGCTGTAGTTCCGCCTTTGTTTCATTTTATGGTAGGAAATTGCTAACGAATACATTACCCTCTCTTCCTTTTCTATGTTACCTGTGGCACCTGTGGATCTGCATATTGGAACTATTTCGTCGAATGTTTCCCTTGGATCCCCACTTTAAAACGCTTGGCTCAAAATATGAACTCGTGGAACTTGCGGCTATATTGGTCTTTATTCCTGCTCATGGACACAAACACAAATCACATTTCCTCTGCCAAATCCCCTACATCATATGCAAACTGGTCACTGTAGCGCAATGAGCGTTTCCCTCAGGGTGGCCCTGGAGGTCCGAGGGGCATGGGTCCTGGCAATTCAGGATTTGGCAGGGTCCGTGAGGAATTCGATGGACCTGCCAAGAAGCCACGCTTCTGATCTGGCACTTTTTTTATATGGCAGAGCTCGTGTTTGAATTCCCAGAAGTTCTGGGTCTTGATGTATTTAAGTTTAAAGTATTTCTTTGCAGTTTTAGCCTCAAGATCTCTCCTGTTTGTGGCAAGATATTTTCTTCGTAATTTGTGTGTTCAAATTAGATAGTAGTAAACTGCTCAGCAGGAGTCATCTCTTGCTTAGCATATTCCATGTAATATCTTTTCTTACTTATATCATGCAATGTTACTTGTTATGCTGGTTATTCTTGTAAGTTGTTCTGA